AAAAAAAATAGTAATAACAACAACAACAACAACAATAATAATAGAAGAAGATACAAAGCAAGTGATGCATGATGCAATTGCTCACCATCCGCCGACCGATGCCCAGCCAGTCCCCCAGCAGCAATCGCTGCCCCCCAGCCAACTCCCCCCAGCTTATATACTGAGCATGACGTCACATGGTATGGAATGTCCCTTTGGCCAGTTGGGGTCAGCTGTCCTGGCTGTGCCCCCTCCCAGCTTCTTGTGCACCTCCAGCCTTCTCAGTCGGTAGAGCATGGGAAGCTGAAAAGTCCTTGACTTAGTATAAGCACTGCTTAGCAACAACTAAAACATCGGTGTGTTATCACATTATTCTCATCCTAAATCCAAAACACAGCACTATGCCAGCTACTAGGAAGAAAAGTAACTCTAGCCCAGCTGAAACCAGGACACTAACTCTTTCTGATGTACAGTCATAGGAATACCACTCATGAACGGTAATTATAACTTTCAAATGAGAAACTGAAATATTTAAATGAGATCTCAAACTGTTTATACACAAAAAACTAAAGTGACTAATATATTACTTATTTTAAATAAGGTCACATTTTCCACAGTCAGCTACCAGCTGCCATATAAGAGAAAGTTTCAACAAATGAACATGTTACAAATAATGAAGACTAAGTTGTAATTCTGTTTTTAAGTAGCAAATCTTAGTCCCTAAAAAGTTTCATAAGGAGAGGAAGTACAATAGTGGGATTGCAATCTGTTGCAAGGCATTATATCCCTCTAAGCTTGATATAAAAAAATTAAGAAGAAATGCCTCAGTTAAATAAGCATACACTAAACGTACTACCTTTCTGTATTTTGGGATTTGACTGAACTTCCAGTATCACTGTTGTCACGGTGTCTGCATACATATCATTAGCAGGATTTGCCACCCACTGGAAGATTAAAAAAAAAAAAATTTCATAATTTGAGCCCATTATTTGGGCTGAATGAATAACGCAACATAAAACGAATGTAACTTTAATGCCATTCTCCTGTTTGCTTTTCTCTGAATTCTAGCTTCAAATGACTATCATATATTTTACACCGAACTATTAACTATTTTTAACTTAGTATATTCCAGTAACTTCCCATGAAAAATTCAAGCTGTTGAATGTTTCTGAACACATTTATGAAACAGTTATTAATTACCACAGCCATTTGGGGGAGGGGGGAAGGAGGGAACACCATTTGACATTATTTCCAATTACTATTTGCCAAATAAAAAAAGGGCACCGAATCCACCATAATATTCTTGAGTCATGGCAAAAAAGAAACTAGCAGTGGCTAAATGAAACAACATGCATCAACACAGGACCACAGCTCAAGGGAAACTTTGCTCTAGCTTTCATTCTACTTGTCATCCAATGGAAAACTACTTAAAACATTTAATTCTGCATGGCATCTATATGATACTATTTTGCAGAAACTGGAGAACAAAATACTTCTTTCTCCCTCACCAATGCCCACCTCAAGGACTACCATGCCTGGTTCCTGGATCACAGTAATGTTTTTGAAAACCTTCAAGGCTGGTTTTTGTTGGATTTCTATTTCTTCTACATCACCTAAGAAGTGATAACAAATGGTTAGCAAGGACAAAATTATACTGAAAAGAAGACTAACTTTATCTGCATAAGAAAACAGGTCATTTTAAGAATGCTGTGATTATCATCACAACTGCTCACAGCAGCTCACAATTCATTTCTCAGCCTGAAGTGCATACTCTCTTCCCTTGCCTGACAAAACTATTTTCTTTGGTCTGGATTGTTTGCGGTTTTTTTAGTGTGTAATATTGGCCATTTTACTTGTTTTGAATTCTCATAGTTGACTGGCTTAGTACACTGACACATGTACACCAATGAAAAAGAAAACAAATGAGAAATTCAGTGCTCCATTTGCGGAATTAACTAGCTCCTCTTATACCCTTAAAGGATAACCCATTGTTTACATAAGCACAGAGGATAAAACAAAAGCATTTGTGTGCCAGGTAGCGCTCAGGCTGTAAGACCTGAACACCAACTGAATATAGGTTCTCTCTTCACTAGTGGTATGAATTAGATTCTGACACTAGAGGAGAAAGAAAAAAATCCGCAGCTTTAAATCTGGGAAGGGATCCTGCAAAGTGTGTGTGCCTCTAATGAACTAGGACAGGAGTTGCCCCTATCCTTTAACAAAGCTAGACGGAGGCACTGGGGATTGCATTAGTGGCAGATTTAAATGGCTTCTGACTCAGAAAAAGCCAACAAGGTTAGATTCTTGCTTCTCGGGGAGGGACAAAAGAGGCTGTCTGTCACAAAGGAGGACAGAGCTTTTGTTACTCTCTTTTGGGGCTGGAGATAAAAGATCGATTAATAAATTTTGCATCAGAGTGGCTATGGCACTCACTTTGGAGGCTGACAGGAGACAAAAATCAGCCTAGGCTCTATATTACTATATACTCATGATTTTGTAGTACAACTACAGTAGAATCCCCCAAAAAGGATGTTTCATGCTCATGAACTGGATCTGGCAGAAGCTGCATAATCTAATGAAAATTGTAAAATATGAAACCAACCGTGGCACTTCAGTTACTGGCAAAGAAGTTTCCACTCATAAGATGTCTGAAGACTATAAGTTCTTTTAAAAGTTGACCACTATAAATCATGAACATGTCTTTCCAAATACGCACCGGTAAGTTTTTGTAGCTGATAATAAAGCAGATTAAAAGGGCCGGTATATGGAATGGCTTGTGTCTGTGTTACAGTGCTCATCGCCAAGTCGGTATAATCTGAAATAATTTTTAAAAGTATGTATTAAAAATTATCCCTTCGAATTTGCTTCTTAAAAAATTAAATTGTCACTATAGATAAATAATGGCATCACAAGACAGAGGGTTGAACAGGACAGTGGCATCAATACATTCAAGACAGAGGGTTGAACAGGACAGTTTGTAAAGAGGAGGGTGGAGGGTCTGTTATAAGATAAATAATGTATTTTTGGTTAAGAAACCAGCAAGAGCTTGTTACTTTATCATGCCCATTAAAAGCAAACAGTGAACTAGGACAGTAGAATTGCTTTCCCCAAGCTCTTCTGGCATTACTACTCCATTTAATTTTCCTTCCATCTTGAGAATAGATCAATTTCTTTAGTAATAAATAGCATAGGAGCAATACACAATATTTTCACTGTACTGTGGCTTTTTACACTAAAAACTAATGACATTTTAGAAACTGGCAGGACAATTGATCAAGATGCTCTTCTGTTCTCACTGGCATGTTTTATGCATACTCATACAGAGGAAGAAGTTTTAAGTAACCATAAAGGGAATGGAAATTTGCTTCTTTTCTCTTACAGAAAGAACAGAAATTTTTTTAAACTTCAGTGGACAAAGAATTGAATGCCTTGCTTCTCACTCCAACAGTTCAGAACTTCTGGCAAAACCAAGCCAAACTAAAACAAAGATGTTCACTAATTGCTTATCAAACACAAAATTACAGAAAAAAACCCCAGTATTGTGTGTGTTTTAATGACAGAAGTATACATTAAGTTTCAATTACCTACTGAGCATATTACGGTCTTTACTTACTGGAGAGGTCACATGGAGAAAGGATGTGATAGTTAAAATTTCTTTTAACTAGGATTCCAGAAATTCTCTGTCCTTGCTCTGGTTTCTTATCTGCTAAAGATCCCATCACCTGGAAAGAAAAAACACACATAGTGCAACAAGGAAAACTGAAATATTCATAGCTTAAAGTTAACTATGGAGATGAAATACAGTTTCCTGAGAAAAATCAAACATTATATAAAATTAACTCTGAAAATAAAGGAAAGTCAGAGTAACCAACAAACATTCTGAGATGTAACACAAGAAAAGGTTGGAAGAGTGAAGAGCCAAAAAAAAACCACCGAACACCAAAAAAAACCCCAAAACCAAACCCCAAATACAACACTAAACCAAAACATTCACATGCTTTGAGTCCCTGGAAAACATACACAATCCAAAACCAATTAAAAATAGAGGCTTAGAAGAAAATGCATAGTGTTTATCCCAGAGGAAAATACTGTTGTACAGGTAAGAAAATATTAATTTTATACCTTGGCAAGTTTTTCTCCTCTGAAGTTTAATGTCACAGCTTCAGTATTCCTAGGATTATGAACTTCTATATGAACTTCATCGTTATCCTCATATTCCCGTATCAATGCTGCTTTCAATCTGGCCATTTCATTCTGCTCACCGTGAACTAAAATCTACAGAAAGACAGTTTTCCTTTTAGCAGAAGTTATTTGTCCAACCAGACATGTTTAGTAAGCAAATTATCCAAGAAAACTGCCATCTTGTACCTCATCTTTATAAAAATGTAATTTCATGAGGTCACAATATATGAAACATTAGCTCATTTATACTACATACAGTTCCATGTGTGTCTTGGAATTCTATGCATTATTCAAAGGCCCAGATTTTACGACCCTGAGTATTAGTAGAAAAATATATGCAAATAAGCAGAATGTATTACAGAGATTCCATTTAACTTTTCATACACGAGCACATTGTTATATTATGAAAGGGAAGTATTAACTTAAGTTCAATGATAAAAGTTACAGTTAGCTTTACATTTTTGCATCTGCATGTAGATAAACATAAACGTAATAAACGTGCAATTCAGTATGCTTATTAAGTTCACAATTTTCTTTGCCAAGTTAAATCCTCTCTTCTTCCGCTATGATTTGTTTTATTTCGATCTGTGCTTGCACACTGCCTCTCCCGCAGTCTCAGCAAGTTTCTGATCCTAGTCTCCATTTTCATATTCTGGTCCTTCACACCTCCTGCTCCCTGTGATTTTATCGTGCTTTTTCCCCCAGGTGCTGCCTTTGTCTTGTGCTGCCTGCTACATACCTTCTTTCAGACTGGCCTACTCTTTTTCAACCAATGTTTTCTTGTTTATTTTGGGGCAAATTCCAGTGAATTATCCCAATAGCAGTGTCCCCAGCTTAATGTCGTCCCATACTGTATCTTACTTGCGCAAAACACTGCTGAAACAGGTTATGGACCATACCACTTTCTCGGAAGTCATCCCCAGATATCCCACATGCAAACAGTCAAGAGCAAGTTCATCTTTACTTTGCTAAGGTAACATGACGAAGAATGGTTAAAATCTCCACCTTTTATTATTCAAAGCATAGGGATGCTGGCTACTGCTAGACACCAGTACCTGCCTTGATGACTCAAGGCTGTGAACTGGTTTGATAAATCCCACTCTGGAGAAATGGGCAGCATGTATACTAACCACATGTGGAGGTTTCAGGGCCCGGATAAATTCACTAGTTTGTTGATAATCTGTGTGAGCAGAGAAAGAAATGTAATCCACAGACATCTTCAGTGGGAGTTTTTGTCCTGACATAGTTGTGATTTCTTCAGGTTCAGACATGATGTGCTAGAAAAAAAGAACACTTCAAATAAAAAATGGAAAGCCTCCTTCAGACGCCATATAACTAATGCTTTACATTTCAAAAATCAATGAAATAATATTGGAAGCCAGGTTAAATGTGAAGAACTGAAAAAATCTCTCAAATTTCACAAAACACACACTCACAAATGAAAAAAGCACGCACAACACACACCATTTCATCTTTTGCATCCTCAGCAGATCTGGGAGTTCATTCTTCTTCCAGATACGTCTCTCTCAAATTTGCATTGAAATTATAACAAGTGTGTGATTTCTACCTCTAAAGGCAAAACTAGATGCTCTGGTTTCCCTTAGCTGCTGGAATTCGGAAGGAAGGATTTCATTCCCTACGACTGGACAGTGGTACAACATGCGCAAGGCAGTATGATCTCTGATATTTAAGTAGTGTTAGATTTAATATTGACTCCTCTACAATTAGGGTTAGGGCTCCCCTTTCAAAAAGTTAAATGGTGGAGGGGTCTAAAGATGGAGAAAACTATCAATCATTCTTTCTCATGACCAGATAACTGCTTCTAGAAAAGATTATTCTGTACATCATCACTGGAAATGGCCATATGCAAATTTTCTGTACTTTTCATTAGTATTAGCCAAAAGCAATTAGTTTTGACTACATAATTATGTGTACGTGACAACAATCTTAGTAAATGCAAATAAAGACACTTGCTACTAGCCAATTCTTTTCAAACATAACATGCATACTACTTTGTATTAAGAACTTGTGGTGCATTAACAACTCACCTTAGCAAGCGTTCCTTCAACACAGTACCCTGCTATAATTACTCCATTTCTCTTATCTGTGCACCAGCTCTCAAACAACTCTCTGGATAAGCCACTCTGCATCATACCTGGGGAAGCCATCACAACACTTGGGCCAATATCATCAAAATGATCCATACTCTAAATGGACAAACAGCGAGACTATCAGTTACCATAACTCACTTAAATGAAGCAAATATGAACTCTTCTGTCACCCTTCCTCTTTTGTAAGACAATCTTATCTCAAGCTTACCTTCAGGTTACTAATATGCTTGAAAACAAATGGATTGTTGATGTTAATTTGCTTGCGGATTTTGTCATTCATGGCATTCACATACGTCTGATAAACTGCCATACATTTCTTTGCCAAAGAGGAGGCATAATATATAGGGATATCATGGAGTTCAGGATGATTCTGCCAGTATTCATCTTAAAAAACAAAAACAAAACAAAAAAAAAACCAATGAAAAACAACAAAAAACCCAACCAACCACCAACCAAAAAACCCCATACAACCCCGCCCGCAGCATTATCTCCAAAATGCATGCTTCTCAGAAATGTTAATACTTCTTGTAAAACAGATTTAGCAGTGTTTTTTTTCATTTTTATTAAAGAAAACCACAATCACAGACTTTTTTTTTTCCCCACTTGCTCTACTAAAGAAAAAGTAATCACCAACTAAAAATGTATACAACTAGTACATACAGGCAAACAAACAAGAAAAAGATGAACTTCAGATATTTTCAGCAGGTCAAATTCCAATCAATCACCAACTTCAGCTACAAGGTATAAAGTATACATGATATTACACAGCAATAAATCTACATTTACAACAACGCAAGTTTTACTACACCACTGCAATAAAGCTAAAATGTCTCTGTCAAATATTAATTACACATCTAACAGCTAGGGACATCTGCACATAGGTATGTTGTTGAGAATTCACTATATCAAAGTTCTGTAAAACAAATCCACGGAGTTCAAGGCGTGAAGGGATTGCCCAGTTATCAAGCCTGTCTTCCTGTATATCACCAACAGTTGTATTTTACAAGCTTAACTGAAACAAAAACAGGAAAAAAGCCTCCACTAACCACAACTTACTTTATCACTGATGACAGTAGCCATGACCTTTACTAAACACAAAGAGATCTGAATGCAGCTACACAAACATAACTTACTCATTTTCCCACTTGGATACAGTTCTGCTAGTCTAAAACATATTTATATCGCTTAAGTGAGGAACAGTCATCCAAAAATAGACGTAAACTCTTTTGGCTGTATTTGTACATTTAAAATGATATGGCTTTAACCTAACATTTTTGATTTGCAGACAAAGCTTTTCAGAACATGTCAGAGAGGCTCACTGCCATGACTATCTTAATAAGTTCAAGTGTAAGGTGGAAACAGCCAATGAAAGATAACCAATAGCAGGACTCAGAACGACATTAAAAGATGGCACCCGTTGTCACAATTTTCTATACCATAACGCAGTATTTTATTTTTTGTCAGACACTTATGGAAAGAAGGAGAACAAACACAGAAGCCTGCGGGCTCAGTTGTGTAGGCATGTGAGATGCAATTGCTCTTTCTACCTAATTAAGCATCCAATTGCGTGTCTAGCTTTACTAGATGTATTTTCAAGCTTATCTTTAGCAACTCTGGTATCTACACACAGCAAGGAGAGCCAACCAATTACAAACTAATGGCTACACGAGATTTAAAATGTTTGGTTTTTATCTCCTCTATGAAATAAACAAACCTCAATCAATGATAAGTACTAAATAATCCGGCAACATCAAATACTACCCCATGCCTGGATCCAAATTTCTTATTAATATTTGAATAGACCAGTAACACATTTTGAAAACATACTAGTTTCTAATGTTGAGCTAAACTGAAATGGAAAGTGAGAAGAATTTCAAGTATTTTAGGTAATGTTTTAGATTCAACACCCCTAAAAGTAATCAATAATAAGTACTAAATAATCCGGCAACATCAAATACTACCCCATGCCTGGATCCAAATTTCTTATTAATATTTGAATAGACCAGTAACACATTTTGAAAACATACTAGTTTCTAATGTTGAGCTAAACTGAAATGGAAAGTGAGAAGAATTTCAAGTATTTTAGGTAATGTTTTAGATTCAACACCCCTAAAAGTAAGTATTTTAATTTTGAGATAGTTATCTTTTGATCTTGCCAGCATTTGCATGAGCAAAAAGACTAGTGAGAAATCACGTAACATAGTACAAATTAAATGTGCTAAAAGGAAGCAAAGAAGCCTAGAAATAATTTATTTAAAAACTCTTTTCTCTGGTACCTTGTAACAATTACTTATATATTTTATGTGAAGCGGCTTGTTATGATCACGTATAGTTTCTCCCCCCATTTTTGCTCTTCTTAACAAAGCCTAATTTGCTTTCCCATTATAATTAGGACTTTAGAAATGCTAGAAGTGTCTGTTATGGTCTTCTCAGCTTTTCCTATAAAGACTTCTTCATATAGGTTTGTGAATTAAAGGGCAAGGATAGTGAAACTTTGGAACAAAATATATCTTTTTTTTTAGCAATATCGTTTAAATGGAACAGTCATGTTTTGATTGCTTCCTTTTCAATCTGTAGTAATAGCTCCTATTTGCTGAAATCCCAGTTCAACACGATTCAAAAGTCAAGTACATATTACCATGTCATTACGTTCTCCTTTCTAGCTGTCCTTTCTGCCTCACAAAGCAGAACTGCCTTGGTTAGTTGGTTAGGTTTTTTCATTTGAACAAACAGTATTACATATTCTGAGGTAATTAACACGCTGAAAAATGGTTGAAGAGTTGTTTAAAAAAAATCATTATACCTGCACATGAAAACATTCTCATCTAACTTTATATGCCTTTTATTAAGAGGAGCTGGGAAGGTACATACCTAAAATTAAAAGTAGTTCTTGAGCTCGACCCAGGGCAAACACAGGAATAAGACCTCTACCTCCTCTATTTACAATGTCGTGAACGGTATTACAGAATCTTGCCTCTCGCTCTTCCCTTTTTTCATGAATATGAGTACCATACGTGGATTCCTATGTACAAAGAAATTTAGTATTAAAAGTACTGACACAAAGACTAATTCCTGATCTTCTCCTCTGAATCCAACAAGAAAATGCAGAAAAACGTAATGTTGTTACCATGCAGGGGGCAGAGGGGTAAAGGGAAAAATCAAACCCACCCCAAATTCCCATAACCACCTGCACCAAGATAATCAAGATTCCCCCTCCCCCAAGTCCCTCCCAGCAATTTGGGAAGACAGATCCGGGGGGGGGGGGGGGGGGACAATGAACTATTAATTTTGGTGCTTCTTTTTTTTAAGAGGAAATTTAACATACTTATTTTCCTAACTGGAAATGCTGCCACTGCTTTGATGAATGGGTTATCACGTTACCATGGCTCACTAGTGGTACGAGTGCCACAGTTTAGAAACACGTAGTCTAAAATATAGGAATTACACAAAATACAAGTTTTTTGATGTGATTTAAAATGAAATAATTCTCAGTTACAGAAAGCAGTTAGAAGGGACACAAAGGATTAAGTAATTTTAAGCATTACTCTGAAAGATCTCACTGTTCATTTCCGAATGAAACAGTTGCTTTTAATGTTTCCCCTGAGCTTCTGATTTTCCAAACATGGATTCAGAATAAAACCATTTTGCTCAGAAACCAAAACCAAAAAAATATGGAATAGCACTCAGGGCACCTCCACCCAGGACAAATTCTCAACAAACATAGTTGGAAGTAGGTTAGGACCTACTAAAGAAAGGTATCTGGCTAAATTGAGGTTTGTACAATACATCTAGCAAACACAAGGTGAAACCTAGTAAATCTCCCATCTTGTAAAGGTTTGTCTAGAGGCTTAAGAAACTTCATCAGAAGGATTGTGAAACAAAAATCAGACTTTTTAATACAGTGAAAAGAAATGTTGGAGTGTTCTGAACACCCAAGCGTTTGGATATTTAACACAAATCACATACTACCATTAAACCTCCACTGTCTTTCTCATCCCATTTTAGCTCTAATTAAGTAATACTCCTATACTTTTTTAATGACTAGTTTAAAGAAATAATTTTGTAAAAGTTTCAATTATAAGAATATCAGGTTTAATATTGGGAATCTCAGCTGCCATCAGATGTCTGTCTTCCTGTCTTGAGAAATCACCTGTATATAAAAGCTATGAGACACAAAGAGAAGCAGTTACTCTGATTACAGGTTCTACCAAGTCAGCAGTCTTTAAAAAGCTGTTTAAAAAAAATCATTCCTATACGACAAAGATAGTTTTAAGGAATTTATGATAAAAATATCACTTGTACTTTAACTAAAGACTCTTCGGATGTGGACAATGCTTATAATATTAGGTCAATAGTACTACAACACAAATATTTTAACCACAATGAGTAAAGATATTTCAAGCAGTACCTTAATTGCAACAGAATTAGGTAAACAATTATTAATTTTTATTTTTCTTTTCATTTGGGATATAAAGGTGCCATTTTCAGCATTTTGCATACATGCACTGACCATTAAGAAGTAAAAATTGATATAACAGAAAATACAGCAGGTCCTAAGTGGAAGTACAAAGTAGGTAAATCAGCATTTACATATCAGAATGTAACTATAATGAATAATCCAATAAAATTACTTTAAAAAAATCCTTCTAAGATTTTCTGATACTTAAAAAAAAGCCTGTAATCTAGCAGATTTTCCAAATGGAATGATCATGTTCCCCATTACACCAAGAAGTAATTCGTAATTGTTAGTAATTTTTAATGGATTCTTAACTGCAGGGTAGAATGCAGATGTGCCCAAAATGATGGTTTCAAAACTGAACGTTTTTTCCTTAATGATCATTCTACTGATGAAAATGTGAATAATAACAAAACATATAGTCAGCAGCTGCAGATAACTGGTCTAAGGTAACCTACTATCACATTCCTCATTTGCTTCACAGAGAATTAAATAAAATAATGGATGTTAAAACCCAATCCATTTGAGTCATGCATAGTAAGAGGGAAATCTTTCTCCATCATGCCTTAATCAGCAAAAAAAAAAAGCAGTAAGATATCTAAATTTTATTGTAATCATTGTAAATTCAGTTCTATTTCTGTACTTTTTTTAAACTCTAAACTTTTAAAATTCTCAATCATTATACACCATGAACAAAGTCCGACTAGACAGCAAGCCTCAGGACCACCATCTCTCTTCCCTCTTCAAGGCTGTATGAAACTTTTCCTGGGCGGGGATTATCCTACTGAACTCCAATTCATGAGATTAGTTTCAAGTATCTGGTTTTGACACAGTGCTGCCTGTGATTATATGACGACTTATTTAATCTCTCTAGGCCTAAAATTAATAATAATCCTATTTCTTTAGGTACTTTAGCATAAGAGTGTTACGAGAAAAATATAACTCACATACTCTGACAAATGCCATTTAAGCACTCAGACAGGCAGACGTGGTAAATCAGAATTACAAAAACAAACATCTGTTTATAGATTTTACTAAAACGCAGCTTCTGTAAGACTGCCTCAGCTATCAACTACCTCTGAGCAGACCAGCACGGAAAACTACATTTTTACTGGTTCCAAGTCTGAGTCATAACTCACTCCCATAAAATCCAAACGTTCGACCTGGTTCAATACATGTGTCACTTGCTAGTTCTAATCAATGAGAAAATACATGATCTAAGTCAAGGCCTCTCACCTTGACTTGAGTCCAAGTCTATTTGACAGCTCCAGCCACAGTGGTGGGGCTTAACAGACAATAATAAATAATTAATGACTAAGTTAGAATTCACGCTTGATTTCAACTTTATAATAAAAAGAAAATACCTTCACACCAGCTATTTCAATCATAAACATGGCTGCTCCCAGAACATGGCCTGCGTGGTAACACCAGAATTTGATTCCTGCCACCTCTTTCACTTCATGGAAGTTGATGGTCTCGATCTTGTCCATGCTTTCTTCAAGGTCTGTTTCTGTATATAGCATGTCATCCGCTGATATATTACTGGATATAAGTGAAATGGCTAAATATCAGCTCATCTTACCAGCTTAGATTATATAACAGTTGGAAAAAAGTGTTCCTGGATTTTTCCCCACTGACAGTAAGAATCCCATTCGGCAACGCTATGTCTCCTACATTAGAAATCAAGTCCAGGTACACCTAAGCAGAGTTAAAGTGTCTTTCTTTTGAAAGGCCGCACGAACAGTCTTTTCATTTCACAATCTGCTCTGTATTTGTCTAAAAGTACCAACAGATTCCCAGCCCTGGACAGAGGTCTGACACTCAGCTTGTAACAGCCCTCAAAAACCAAACCAAACCACACTTTTCCCATTGGCCCAGAACAAACAAGTTAAGAAGAGGACTGTTTATCAGGTTTCTGACCCAAACTAGAATCTGCTGCGTTGAGATATGCTCAGGACCATTGAACTCACACATAAAAGATGTGTCAAGGCATGTAACAGGAGAAAAACAGAGAAAGAAAAAAAAGAGGGGAAAAAACCCCAACATGTAAGTAACAGAGCATTCTTTGTACATTTGCTTACATTTAATATTTAATTTGACCTTGTCCTGAAGAGTGAGTTGTATCTTTAGGGGCTTAAAATTCACTACTTCTGTGAAGCTTAAGAAAAAATATAGACATTAAAAAGCATAAGTACAAAAGAACATCTTAAGAGAGACAGATGGTGGGAAAAAGAGGATACTATTAAAGGTCCAAATAAGGCAAATGAAAAGAAAGAGAGGAAAGAAGTTGGTTTTTTTTTTATTGATAGGAAGTTATTTGACAGACACATTATCCATGAGGCAGTAAAATGATTCATTACTTCTAATCTGGTTATAACGTTGTTACTTGTGGCAACATCCAGGTTCATCCAGCCACCTTTGGGGGCTTCATCTTAAGTTTCCTATCGGATGTATCGGTGAAATAATTAAGGAGTTGAAGAGACAACCCATGGGTCAACTTACCTGACTTTGACATAGTCAGAAAGAAGCCATCTGTAAATAGCTTTTGTGGCATGAGTCATAAATGTCCTTCCTTTAAAACTTGTTTTCTGCAAAAACCATGGTAAAGCCCCACAGTGATCTAAATGGAAACTTAAAATAGACACACAAATCCAATTAATACATTAACAGTACAAAACACTAATATATAATATATATCCTATAAATACTTCACTGGATTAACATAGTGTCACGAAAATCGAGAAACAGAGTTTTCAACCTCGTTGTTAACTATGCTGGTCTATATTCCATACACTAGTGACTAGAAACGCAATCAAGAAAAGGTAAGAGTAATACAGGAAATTCTCCATTAATTGCAAAAGTTTTACCCATAAACTCTCAGAATTAACTTTTTTGTAATTTACATATAAAGTTAGAGGGAGAAAAATAACAGGAACCGGGAACACAACAAATGTCTAAGATGCAAGAAAGCTAACAAACGTGATCCTAAGTTTGCATGTAGGACACTGGATTAAAACACGTACTAAAATAATTTTATTTGGCCACACTTCTAATTTGACCTATCTTAAGGAAGTGCTTTTAAAATACAGGTAGAACAAGCATATATCACGAAAACTCAGTATTTTATAGAGACCTGGTTATGAGTCATTTACAAATGGCTCTCCCTGTCTCTCAGCCACTAAGCAATATTTAAACCACATTCAAAGCTTGCGGAAGTCTCTGAGAACCTTTTTCATTCAAAGCCAACAGAGCAAAAAACACAACCCATACTTTTCAGCAGTCTTTATGTAGAAAACTCATTCTAGAAGCTGTCACAATGGTGTTAAAGCAGGCCAGGTTATAAAAAAGTCAGACATCACAGCAAGCTCCAAGGAGAGTTGTAATGTCAAAAGTGACTGGACATCCTTAATTTAAAAAAAAGTTGGAAACTAAAATTTTACCATGCCATTACCATCTATATAACACCTATTTTCAGCCTCTCTTAATAATCCACAAGTCAACACAGCTCAGACCACGACCTCAGTATATTTGTTCTCTTAGGTGCAACTTACTGACTAATTAGGAGAAGATCAATCTCAGCAGGATCTATCAAATCAATGTAAGGAAGAGCGTCCATTCCTTCCAGTCCAGGATGGATTCCGCAATCAAGCTGAAAAATGAAAGAAAGTTAAAGCTTCTAACAAAATGTATAAAAAACCTTCTTCCATTTTGGTCTAAAATATAGTTACTAGTGACTAGTAACTTTTAGCATCATGCAAAAGAAGTATTTTTTCCTTAAACATTGCTTTTAGCATTGGATTCCATATCTCGGGCTGCTGTCTAGATGACTTATCCCCACCGGGAAACTGAACACCTTTCAAAAGATCCCAGTCTTTGTTTATAATTTTGTACCTATGCAAGCCTTCATTCACACTTCAACAATACCTGAATATTCAGAACAAGTGTATGCAAGTTATTTCAGCCACCATCTCAAAAGACAGCTGGAAAAGGGAAAGAGAACATGTATGTGTTTACATGTGACTGTTTACACATAACTATAGGTAAACATTAGCCTTAGGTTCCACTGAAACCTAATATGTGTAAATTTTAGAATCGACACTTACAACACATACGTTCTGTTTGGGGATATGGATGTATTTTACAAGATAGCCTCTGTAATCTCTGCTATCGTATATGCTGTATTGTTCCAGAAAGCTACAAAATGTGCCTCTTCTAGCACAGTGGCCAACTTCAGTGAGGAAGCTGAATTCAACCCGTAACATCTTTTTGTGATCTGAAGTACCATGATGAGGGTGTACAAATACATTCATGCAATAATTACCATTATTTTTCTTCCTTTAAACTCCAGAATAATGCACGACCTTCCTACTTCTTGGCCAGCACCTCTGCAAAAGGATATCAAAGTCATCAAAATTAAAACAACCCACAATGTATAGATGTAACTGGATATTGGATGCCTTCAGTGGGATTATTTTTCTGTGTAGAAATAATGGCTGCACAGCCCTTTTAAGCTCAGATATTTAAAGTAACTGAACAGTTATATTTATCTCAATGGAAATTAGACCCTATATGACGCCGCAGGAGTAAAAAGAACCTGTTTTGGGAGATGATTTTGGTCTCTTCTTGTTTTTACTGCATGCCTGCACACTCAGCTCCCAAGGTGATATAATGAGTTGAAAGTTTAATTAAATAACAAATTACTTTGGGCTGAACAAGCATGAAGTAGCATCTTCAAGTTGTCCAGAAGTCAACTCTTGTGATGCTACCAAAAACACCTTCAGCCTACATTGGCATCTTTACCAGAGAAAAAAATTCAACATAAAATACTACAAAACCCCACGACGTTACCGAAGTACAAAAGGCAAAGAAGAAGTTTTTCGCTCAGACAACACTTCAACGTTGCGTAAGGGAAGGACACAATCCTTCTAACCGGCTGTGACAGCTACCCCGCAGACTGCAGGCTGCCTGCTCCTCGGAAAAGCAAGCAACGAAAAACCAGGAGGGGGGAAAAAAGCAGCCCGGGATTTCAACGCCTCGAACTACGTTTCACTCAGGCCGCCCGGGGCCCGCTCCCGCCTCCCCTGTCGGGATAGCACAACCGGTGCCTGGGGGAGGCGC